TCGGAGAATTCGTCTGCGGAAAGCGTCTTCGGGGTCTAATTCGTCTTCGGGGCCCAATTCGTCTTCGGAGAATTCGTCTGCGGAAAGTGTCTTCAGGGTCTAATTCGTCTTCGGGGTCTAATTCGTCTTCGGAGAATTCGTCTGCGGAAATCGTCTTCACATTGCGGGAGGAGAGGTGGCTGTGCTTGAGTGTGTCTTCGTAATGTGTCTTCGTCTGCGGGTGGAAAAGTGGGACCCCCACAGCGGCTGCAATGAAACCTTGAGCTGGCTAGTTTCCTGATTGGCGCCTGGTGAAGCATATATTGGCACGACGGCACGGCCCACCCTCTAGGTCTCCTGAAATGTTCCTACACGCCTCCAGGCGAGCTTCATGTTCAATCATCATCTTCAAGTGTTCTTTCTTCAGTTACTGCTCGCCCCATGTCGCTCACTCACAGCTCCCACGCTCCGCAGCCCTACCACCCGCTCCGATGATCTCAGCCAAGTGGGCCATCAAATCTCCGAACAACGCAAACTCCTCCTCGACCACACGCTCCGCCCGCGCCACGTCTCTAGCAGTCCTCGTGCGGTCACCCGGTGCACCGACGAGCCAGGGCGTCCACGGCCCATGCCGTTCGCGCACGTTCGGCCCGTGCAAAGCAAGGAAAACCAGAAGAATGCACTACTTGGCCTGTTACCAACATGGAACATGCAACATGCCTGCAGTGCAGGGCCTGCAGGAGGTGTTCCCAGTGCCAGTGCTTGATTTGGGACACACAAAACAGGGTGTTCTAAGGCTACTGTTGCTGAACCCAGAGTTCGATCATCCCACGGGTGACAGTGTGACGGGACAACGTGCCACGTCAAGCCCATCTGTTCAATAGGATGTTGATGGATGTTATGCGACTCTTCTGGCGGAAGAAACCTGAAACGCAGCACCTCTTCCATCTGACTCTACCGTCACCTCTCTGCCCCCCGCGGATCCCATTGGATCCGTCCCAGCTGCGCACGAGTGGCAAAAGTTCGATGGCCTTGGCTGGGTCTTTCTTGTAGAGAGCCTTTGCGAGCAGCTCCTTGGAGAAATCTGGGAAGTTCAGCTCACCATTCTGATCGAGTTGAATGACCGGTTGAATCCCAGTTGAGCCACTGTGCCCCATCGTTTTACGCTTGATTTGTATTTGGGGCACGTGGGAAGCCATCAAATATTTGGGGCCCTTGTTGGATCTGGGAGAGAGATGAACCGTGAGGATGACGATGACTTGGGCGCCACAAAGAGACAAATGATCACCGCGTGCACCGATCCGTACACTGTTCCTCTCCCCTTGGTGCGATCACTGGCCGCTTCGTTTCGGTTCGCGCCCTGTGTTCGCGCTCCTCGGCCTGCACCTCTGCCACGAAGGTCTGTTCGCTCATGCGGGCGCGGTGCATCACGGCATCCGCCAGGAACCACCTGCCGGAAAAAGGTGTGGAGGAAGGGGCGGATTGACAGGCAGGAAAGAAGGGCACGGACTCAGGGGAAGACTCTT